TCATTTCAGTAAGTGGAAAATTTTCCCGAAGTGGATTGTCGGTCGACTCTTTTTTGCAAATGTTCCAAGGCGCGGATTGTCAATAGTGGCAATATTTTCCCAAAAGGATTGTCGCATAGCTTTAGCAAATTTCCAAGGTGGATTTTTTCAAGAGTTATATTCCAAGATGTGGATTGTCGATCGTAGCAAAGTTCTTATGAAATATTGTTACGAAGCATTGGCAACTTTTCCAAAAATTGGATTTTGGCACATTTTCCGAGGTACAGATTGTCGCTTCATCGTGACAACATTTCCAAGGATGGATTGTTACGTAGCATTGGAAACTTTCCCTAAATCAGATTATCATACATCATACAAGAGTTGTGTTGGCAACTATTCCCAAATAAAAGAGGATTGTCATCACAGCAAAAGCACCGACATACTGGTTCACAAGCAGCAAAGCACCGACGTACTAGCATAGCAAATATTAAAAAGCAGTGATCTTTTCGAAGACTATCACAGCGGAAAAAAGAAGCTCTTTGTTCAGAACGTCAAAGCAGCAAAGTGGCATTCCCTAGCTTGCGGAAAGTTGTCACAAACAACTGAAGGTAATTTCGGGCGAAGTTGTCTTCGATGGTATTCCCTTGGATGTGGAATATTGTCAATACGGATGAGGATTGTTTCAAGAGAAATAATCTTCGATAGTATTCCCTTGGACGTGGAATATTATCAATGCGGATGAGGATTGTTTCAAGAAGAAATAATCTTCGATGGTATTCCCTTGGACGCGGAATATTATCATAGAAGAGGAGGATCGTTTCAGGCGGAAATATCTCCTAATTTGGAAGAAGTTACGGGCGTAGCGGTTTTCAAGCGGGATGACATTCTCTAGCTTGCAGAAGGTCATCAAAACAACAGTAAAGCGGCAGCAAATTGGTTACTCTTAGAGACGTGTGCTCGACGGTGCAAGATACGCGTTTCTTAACTCTTTTATCTATTTAACTAATGCTAGTTTTGCAGGTATCGGCGTTACAAGATTGATTTAGGATCGCAGAACGTTCCGAATCATTCTCCGTCCCTATCGCTAACTTTGACTTTTGTTTTCGAAACTTGCGTTTCAACAAACTCAGTCAAAGTGGGGGCTTCTGTAGACACCCATTTGTGTCTCCCCAAAACCAAACCCAGTGATGAGTACCTTTCACGTCGAATCATAATCGAATGAAACGAAAGTGTGGAAAGGTCTAGTGTTGCGGAAAGTTTTAATTTCTTTTCTCTTCTCTCTGTTTTTAAAACTTTATTTTTAGAAAACATCCAATTCAGTTTGGTTGGTCCATGATATGGGTCCAATATTAGTGTAGTTGGATGGGGCTTGCAAAGACCTTTCCAATGATATATTATAAGCCCAATTCCGATGAATATTGAGGAAGTTATGGCCAATTTACCAAACTGGGCCCGGTTTGAGCCTTATGTGCGGCCCAATGATCTAGGGGAGGGCCTAATATGATTTATCATAACTAATGTAATTAGGAATGGTTTTAGTCTTCTAGAATCTTCTAGAAGGTTCTTTTCATTCCTAATTCAATTAGCATTGATAAGTTGACTTTTCAGAGTTTTAATCAAAATCAAATAGCATTTTCGAAGGAATTATATTATTTTATCCTCCAGTACGGTAAACTTATCGGATTTTCGAAAACGCGTTAGAATCAAAACTGGCGTCCAACCCCAGGCCTTGGCACCTGGCGCTAGCCATTGGTGCCTGGCGTCAGCTAGCCAGGGTTGGCGCCAACCTTGTTTCCTGAGTGTCAGACTCTGTTTTGTTAAATTATCTTTTTTGGCTGATTTTTTCTATAAATATCGTATCAAAAACTCCGTTTTCATGGACCAATTCAATTCATTCGCAAGCTTTCATCAACAATCATTAATTCTTTAGCATTCTTTCATTCAATTCTTTCTTCTTACTTTGTTTTCATACAAAATTCCGCATTCATTAGATCTAGAAACACCTAGCCATATTCAAAGTTGCCTTTGCCCTAGACGTGAAAGGTTTTAATTTCTGAGGGTTTGGTCCCAAATCTCTCTTTCAATTATTTAATTTAATTGCTTTGATTTTTATTTTCCTTGAAGTTACTAACGTATGTATTTTGTTATTAGAAAGAGGTACGAAGCGTCAAAGTAAGTACTTTAATGGTTTAATTGATATTATGATGTAGAAATCATGCTTAGATTGTTATTTTGATTCCTAGTATCATGTATAGGGTAACTTTAATATTAAGTATGATTAAAAGTACGATGCTTCCTATGTTCTTCCTAATATTTATGATTGTTAGTATCATGTTAGGGTTAAAGATTTGATTTTTTATGCTTAGTGACATGCTAGGGTTTGTTATTAATCTTGTTAGTATCATGCCTAGGATCTTGCTATGTTTATTATGCTTTAATATTAACATGAACATGATTATGATTATAATTATTGTTAGGGTTTTTTCATTTTTACCACCTTCAAATAATGACTTTGTCGAATTTACCACCTCCAAAAAAAAAACATTTACTTTACCACCTCATAAAAAAATTAAACATCAGTTTTACCACCTCATCTGAGCTCAGGTGACGGAAAACGCTTGTGAGGCCCAGCATAACGGCTAGTTTTTGATTTTTTTCCAAAATTTCTCTCGATTTCCCTTTTATTTAAACCTAGTTCTTCATTTGTACACCAAATTCTTGCAGATTGGAGATTAATTTTTGCGATTTTCTTCACAAATCAGTATTTTTGGGCAACCTTAACAATCCCAAACCCTCTAATTATCAAACAATCAATTGAACTCCTCGACAACAAGCATCAAATAGGTAAGCCATTGTCGTTAATTCTCTAGCAATTTTCGTGATTTCTGTTGTAATATTTTGGCAATTCGTTGCGTGATTATGTTGCATTTGCTAAGAGTAATTGAAATTGGGCGTTTTGTGAGGTCAATTAAACCCCAATTTGAATTAAAATACTTAGGGTTCATGTAAGATTAAATTAGATTGGGGGTTTTTGTTATGTGAATTGGCTACTTAAATTAGGGTTATATTATGGTGATTGTGTTCAAATACAATTAATTTCATTCTTGTTCTTACTGAATTTCAGAAGGGAATGTCTTCAGTTAGCATGTCACCCTCAAAGGAGAAAAAATGCCAATGTGGAGTTCCAATGTCTAGGCTGACTGCTTGGACTAGGGAGAACCCAGGACGCAAGTTTAGGACCTGCAAATTCTATGATCCTGTGACTGAGTCAAGGGGGTGTAAAGCTTTTGAGTGGGTGGATCAACCAGATGGAACACCTTGGCAAACAGAGGTGATTAACAACTTGCTGCTGGACAAGAAACTAATGAAGGGAGAGATGAATGACATGAAGAGGGAAGTTGATGATGTTAGTGGACAAAGGAGGTGCTTGCTCAATGAGATTGACAGCTTGAAGATGAAATGCAAAGCTCTTAGCTCAGACAGGAAGAAGATGATCAAGGAAGTGCATGGCAGCAATGCAACAACAAAGAAAATGCTCACAGTACATGCTATTGTTGTGTTTTGTTGTTTTGGTTTGGTACTGGCTATGTATTTTAGATCTTAGGTTCATTTAGGAATGCTTAGAAACAAAAAAAATCCCCAACTTATGTTGTGTTTTGTTGAATTATTATGTGTGGATGTTGGGATGACATTTCTTGTACTACTTTTAACAAAATCAATGAGAAATGGAACTTTTTGGTAGAAACATATCACAATTCGTATTAGTACTTGCAACACAATGTTTGAAATTGTTTTACATTGGCTGAGACAAAAGTTAAGGCACCTTTGTGCAAAATCATTGTTCAACTATCATTGTTCAACTACCAAATAAACTTGGTTGTCTATTACAAAATACTAATGAGTAGACCTAGGGTCACAGTTGATTGAGATCCTTGTCCTTCTTGCTTGTCATTACATGAAGCTTGGACCTGGTCTGTATTTTGACTTTGGGAGGAGTAGTTGTTGGCACTCTTGTGGGCTGACTCAGGCTCCTGTTGCTCCTGGTAACAGGCTGAGTTGGCAAAGGCTCTGTTCTTGTTGCAGGCTGGCTTGACACAGCAGTTGCAGGTGCAGCATTACTTGACCCAGCCTGTGCTGTTGTTGGAGGCTGATATTGTGGCAACTTCAGTGCAGCCTGCAATCACACTATGACAAGACTCAGAAACAAAGCCACTAAATACACTCAAGTCACAAAATACACAAAATACCTGTCTTGCTGCTTTCTCTTCACTTTTCTTTCTCTGTTCCTTAAGACAAGGAGTCTGCATCTGTGGCCTCCCACCCTTTGGATTTGTTGCAGGTGGGTTAGGCTGTTCTGGTGCTGCTTCAGCCTTGCATGTTTTGGCAAAGTGGCCAAACCCACCACAGTTCTTGCATTGTTTCATCACCTTTGGCTTCTTGCCCTCAGGTGCTGCAGAAGTGCCCTCCCCTGGTTCAAGCTTTCTCTTATTTGCCTTAGGTCTTCCTGGCTGCACTTTCAGCATAGGTGGCAAAGGCTGTCTGAGCTTGACCTTTTCCCAATTCTTAGGGCCAGGCATTGGCTGTATTGGGTTCTCATATGCAGCCAAGTATGTCACCCTATAGTAATGTGGGTGCACATACAACTCAGGATCATCCCTTTTGTCCATTATGCAAGCAAATGCATTGAGACAAGGTATTCCTGTCAACTCCCATCTATAACAAGTGCATTTTCTCTCTTGCAGATCCACAATGCACTGATCATCCTTGTATTTCACCTCATAAATTTCATCCCTTGAAGCTGTAACCTCACATGTCATGGCATACTTCTCCAACCCATCAAAGACTTTGTTGAGAAATGGGGTTAGTAAACCTTCCCAAGACTTTGCTGCCTCCCATTTGTCATTACTCCTCTTCATCATATATCTTCTAAGCCATTCCATTTGAGTTAGAATAGGCTTGTCTCTGGCATCTCTAATCACTGCATTAAATGTCTCACACATGTTGTTTAATAACATGTTAGACTTGCAGTTTGTAGAGAAAGCATGCCTTGACCAGTGCTGGGGGTCAATGTTTGACAACCACTGGTATGCTTCTTCATCCAAAAAATTGATACTTTCCATAGCAACTTCAAACTCAAACTGATACAACCACACACATGACAACCATTCAACACAACATAGACACATCACTGTCATCCCTTAAGCTCCTCACTCTTTCTTTTATTTTTCTCACTAAATTAGCAAAATTTCCAGTCTCATCCCCAACCTTAGCCTTACCCTTATCTGCAGCAGTGAGTTTACCCTTCCCTTTATGTGTATTAGCATTCACTTTCTCTGCCCTAGGAAGCCTCTCCTCAGCCTCTCTGTCATGTATAACAATGCCTTTTAACCTAGGGCTTCTCCTAAATGGCTCTTCTTCAGTGGGCTTACTAAGTTCTGGGCTGGGTTTGTATACTTTAGGCCCACCAAACCTCTTTTTCAGTTCCTTCCTTTGTGCAGGGGTTAGCTCATTCCCAGATATACATTTGAAGGGTGTTTTGTTAGTCCCTTCAATTGGCTCATGACTGGTAACATACATCTCACATGCCCCCTCTTTGTTCACCGACTCTAGGAAACCATTCACCTCACCATCAACAAGCTCCCTTTTACCATTCACCCAAGACTTGCCCTTTTGTTTATACCAGCAACTAAACCCCCTAGGAACCTTCACATTCACATACACAAACCCATGTGTAGCTGCTTGCCTCAAAAAGTGTACATCTATCTTATTTTTTTCCACCTTTCTCATCCAATAAACCCACCCACCATCCCAAGTTAACACCCTCCTATTTTTACCAGCTAAAGAAGGTATAAAGGCACCCCCTACTGTAATTTTTAAGTCCACTGTGTCCATTCTGTAACAACACCAACAAAAGCACACACAACAATAACCAATTTCAGTAATTACAGTAAACAACAAAAACCAATTCACCAATTACAACAAGTAAAAGCAATTCACATTGACTATGCACTAAATTAACAGTAACCAAGTAAATCTAATTAACTAATTATTTAACAAATGCACACTCTAATTCAGTCAAAGATTTGCATAATTAGGGTTTATAATACTTTAATTCACAGATTCCCCAAAAAGGCATACTTTACCCCAATTGACAACCATAAATCCAACGAAATGTACTAATAAAGGGTTTAAAGTACCTCTTGTAGTCAGGAATCTCGATTTCTGTCAGCAAATTACCAAGCTTTTGGTCCCCTCACCCTGTGGAAGATGACAAGAGAAGCTGATGTGTTGCAATTTTGTGGTTCCAGCTCGATTTCAACCACCCAAATTGATCTAGGGTTCCAGTTTTTACAGAGAGAAAGAGAAAATTCAAAGGAGAGAGAAGCAGTTACAGTGAGAATCAAGAAAAATCAAAGGAAAGAGAGACGAAAATTGATGAGGAAGTGAGAAATTTGGTGAGACATTGATTATGGAAGGTGGAAGGTGAGAAAAGGAGGAGACAGAGAGAAATCGATTTTAAAAGAATTAAATTGGAGGGAAGTGACAGTTAACTGGGCCCCACAAGCGTTTTCCGTCACCTGAGCTCAGATGAGGTGGTAAAACTGATGTTTAATTTTTTTATGAGGTGGTAAAGTAAATGTTTTTTTTTTGAGGTGGTAAATTCGACAAAGTCATTATTTGAAGGTGGTAAAAATGAAAATACCCTTATTGTTATGGTTATTTATTATGTCGCTTGATTTATTCTTTATTGCTTGATCACCTTCATTGTCTGTTTAAAGGGAATTTTATACTTGTAATCATGCTTAATAAGATATTTAATAATCTTGTTAGGGTTAATATGATTATGATTTCAAGTGGTCGCCAATAATAGATTTGTTTGTGCATTAATATTCAACCAACATAGATTAAACAGGTTTAGGGTTAATCCTATTGATTGTATGTTAGTCAGAAAGCGCACATGAATACGATCAGAATAAAGTAGAGGCCTATTATTAGGGCAGGTTCAATCTCTTTTAGGTTGGATTTGTACCATCATCCCCGAACCCTTATTTGGTTCTAGACCTTATGGAGTTGACGATCTCTTGGATCGTTAAGGGGTGTAACCTTCACCTCGTGAACGGTTTACAAGTTCCTTAAAAAACTTGTTGGCGACTCTTTTGCTCTATCTTCTTCCCTTTTGGACGCCACCGTACTTTAGTGTATGATCACAGTGGGGTTCAAGCTAGTGGGATTAAATCTTGAAAATATTCCCTACACAAATACTCCAAATAAGGAAGATAAATTTCCTAATAGTTATTTTGTGTTTTTTTAAGCATAAAAGTGCTTCAACTATATCAGCGTATGGAACTATGCAATCCAACCAATTCTTAACTAAGGTGAATATACATGTAGACACGTAGTATACATATAATATATATAAGTACATCATACATTTCTCCCAAGTATTTTACAATATTAGGGAAAGATATAACTAAGAAATGGGTTAAAGTGAGATAAATGCTTATATATTTAATTTAAGCTGCATGGATTTCGAAAGGCAAGCATTTCCAAGGGGCGATCAGCTAACAAGCATGTTGGCCAACCGACAATAATACATTGAAACTTAAACATGTATTTAACAAGCTCTTGCAAATCTACATGGAATCTAGTAAAATTGTACATATGTATACTGTTAAACAACGCGTCATGATTCATGCAAGGTCCTACAGTAGGGTTTAATTTAACGTGAAGATCACACTTCTTTAATCGTATTGCAATTTGGCAGCGTGTTGGGTACCATGCCTTAGTCGCCATAATGCCATATGTTCACACATTAACGAGTTGTATTTGTTGGAAGTATAGCCGTATAGGTTATATATAAGGCACACTAAAATACAAGTTAATAAGGCTGATAAACAAATTTTGTATGTCAGCCTTATTAAATGGGGCTCGCTCCACTACAAATGAAGAGTGGATGGAGAAGAAAATTATAAGGTAGATTAATGTTAATGATTTAAGATAGGTGATCAACGTAACTATGAGTATATAGTTAGACTACTCCGTAGAAGTTAATAAGACTATACTACAGAGAATTACAATAACCATCCACTTGGGTTATAATGTGATAAGCAAAAAATTTAGGGGTTTAGGTTTTGGAGAAATATAATTTTATTTTTTAATTGTATTGCTTTGACTTTATTTTGTGCTATTTACATAATTCAATTTGACCAATGTTAGTGATTTATTATTGGTGGTCAACTATAGCCCAACCTTGAAAAAGTGTGGGTTTGAACAAGCCTTAAAACTTATCATTTGTAAAAGAAACCCAAATCGGCTATCTGAAAAAGCCCGACACGTTTTTGCTAGTTTGGAATGAGATTTGATGTTAAGACCCAACCTAGCTTGAATTTTGATCGCCTTTAACTAGAGCTTTCAGTCTCTGACACGACATGACACGACAACATAACCGATACCGGCACGGAACGAATACAAAGTTACTTAGAGAAACACAAAGTCGACACGACACAAAAACTAACCCGAACACGACCTATTTTAATAAAGTGGTCAAATTATATAAGTACCCTATATTTTACATAGTTTTAAATAGATTTTGTGAAAAAACACGAAATTGACATGAGAACTGACGCAAAGACAACATGACACAACTTTTTGCTTGCTCTACCTTTGACATTCTTGTTGCATTTTTTTTTCCTTTCAATTTTTGACAAAAATTCCGTAATATTACGTATCAATTATTTAAATTTAAAATTATAATAAACCGTAACCTCACTCAATTGTCGGACTTTCAAATCGGGTGTCTTATACCCATGTTGAATTGGATAACTTTTTATTCTTGGTTCGAATCCTTCTCCTAGTAGCCCAAGTTGTGAAGCCACCACAAACAAAACAGGTAATCAAAGCCTTTTTCCTAAATCCTAAGCGTGTTTTCTTGAGTAACTCTATTCGTTCTAGAAACATCTTGAGGTAAAATAATCAAATTCTACCCAAAACAAAATTTTACCACTCTTCAACTTTCGTTCCTATAAATACTCTCTCAACACATTGGCTCTCCTCATCTTCCATTAGACATTCATACCTCAAAACCTCTCTCAAAAAATAAAACATAAACCCTCAACATGATGAACACCCGACAATCAGAAACCCCGACATACTGCGCCAAAGGTTGCGGATTCTTCGGAACAGCAGCGACAATGAACATGTGTTCGAAGTGTTACCGTGACCACCGTCTCAAGGAGGACCAATCCGTGACCGTTAGAGCCTTCGTTGAAAAATCGTTATCGTCGACATCTTTGTTGATACATGAATCAGTAAGTGAGGAACCGAAATATAAGTCCGATGAAGCGGTGGTTGTGTCGGCGGAGAGTTCGACAAAGGCGGCGAATAGGTGTATGAGTTGTAACAAGAAGGTCGGAATTGTCGGGTTTAAGTGTAAGTGTGGGTCCACTTTCTGTGGGTCCCACAGATTCCCTGAAGAACATAGTTGTACATATGATTTTAAGGTTGCTGCTGAAGTTGTCATCGCTAAACAAAATCCCAAGGTTTTTGCTGATAAGTTGCACAAGATCTGAAGTTTTAGATTTTTTTTTTATTAGGTTTTATGGTATAGATTAACACTGTGTGTATGTATTTGGATTGTTTTGATTGGTGATTAGTTTTTATAAATAAAGAAAATTTTAGAGATTTAGTGGATGTACATTATGATGTTCTTTGGTTTTTGTAAGATTAATTTTTTTTTTATTATTTGTTGTTTCATAATTTTGTTTATTACTTGAACAACTTAGCCACCAAGAAGGCAAAGAAGGGCTATAATCAACATTTGTAGATTGATTATTGAAGTGAAGTTTTGAAGAAATTAATGATATTAAGGGAGTAAGAATTACCAAAAAGAGTTGGAGTAAAGAAAAAGTCCATACAATAGATGTCTTGCATGTATACTAGTTTTGTGTTTAGGTGATCAAATTTTTATATTAAAGTTTAGGATAAACTTTTTGTCCCAATTACCAACATTAACATATATCATTGACATATATCATATTTTATAAAAAGGAATAATCTTTTTTGGAATAATTTTTTTGATTTAAGATATTTTGAGGTAAGATATACTTCTACGTCTAGATCATGGGTAAACCAAAATCAGCAAATTTTTGTGTGTGGCTGGCCACGCGGCGTGGCCAGCCACAATTTCTATTATATTTAAAAATTAAAAAAAATACCACAAGTCTTCTCTCTCCTCTTTTCTTAGCTTTTTCTTCAAGTCAAACCACACATCACCAACAACATATCTTTATTCTACCCATTTGCTCTCTCCTTTTTTCTTAGCTTCTTCTCCAAGTCAAGCCACACATCACCAACAATCATATCTCTACTAGACTCATAATTTTCTCTCTCCTCTTTGCCAAATTACTGCAATTAAAGCCCGAAATTGTAGAAATTGAGTGTTAAATTACTGTGAAAAATTGCGATTAATTAACCTTAAGATCATCAACCACAGATTCCCACCCCTCCACCCTGAAAACCCTAGCCACCCTAAAATCTCCAAAGCCACCTTGAAAAAAAAATAGCCCACCCCATAAACCCCACCGATTTCTACCCCCACACCCCACCGATTTCTACCCCCACACTTTAACCTTAATCAACACACCACCCCCTTTTGCCCACCTATAACATCATCAACCAACGATCGTAAAAATGTAGGAGTGAAGAATCTAACCTAGGAACAAGAGGAGAAAACAAAGTCATATTCAAGGCCCAACAACCACTAGACCATTTTATAACTTTGTGATACATGTTGTTTATGAAATGTATATAAATGTATTTACAGTTTCTTTGTATGCTAATGAAAATCAATTAATTTTTTTTTAATTTTTAAATGGGGGGACAGCTGTCCCCCCGTGTTCCTATAGTGGCTCCGCCACTGTCTACAAGGCTACACTTCTTGCCCAATTTTAACAATTTATGCCTCCGATTGCAATAATTTGTCACCCAACAAACATCAATTTGACCTCTTACTTTACAGCCAGGGAACCTTAATTTCTCAACATGAGAAACATGGAGTGTTTCTCAAGTTGGTATTTCTAAATTAAAAAAAAAAAAGTCCATATAATTAGGGATGACAGTGGGTCGGGTTAAATGAGAGACCCGCACCATCCCCGCCCAAGTGGGGCGGGGATGGAGGGAGGTTTGGCGGGTGATGGGGCGGGGATTGTAGGGACTTATAGGTACTACGCAGCGGAAATAAACATGAATCATATTCATACAGTACCTAATCCCAAGATCTAATGCATAACACATAAAGAACATATAATCGTACCTTTGAAGCGTGATTCCACGTGCGATCGAGCAAGAACACTGGGAGATAAAGAACCTCAAGCGTGATTCCTCTACTTGGTCCACGGGCACAGATTAAGACCTCCACTAATGCTAGTTAGTTGCAATTGAACCCTTCAATTGACCTTCTATGGAGAAGTGCGAGCAACGAACCACCACGAACCACTACACGCGCCACCAAGGTGGCCGGCCGTACAGACGAGGGGAGGAGAGAGATAGTCGTGAGTTAGAGAGAGGAATTAGGGTCTTTGGGATTGGTTGCCTTGATGTCAAAATACATTGTGTGTGAATTATGACTTCTTACATGCAACCCTAGGCATGGATCTTATTTATAGATCTCATCTCTAAATAAGAGCCCATGTCAAAAGCCCAAAACCTAATTCTAATCTAACTATGCTAGCCCAATCCATTTCATGATTAGTTAAATGCTCATGTGGCCCATTAATGGGCCTCTAACTTGCTTAACCCAATACCCTTGTGTGTGACCTCATAGGATCCATTCTAGCGGGCTTTGGACTATTTCACTAGTCCAAAGGTCATCTCTCATAGTCTAGCAACAGATGATGACGCCCCAAGAGAACGAACTTATTATCTCCATAATAGTGATCCTTAATATATCTAGTAATTGCACTTATCGAAGACACAATTCCTTCAATCTCCCACTTGTCTGAGACAAGTGCGCAATATTCAAATTCCTTAAGTCAATGAGTGTCGATTTGATAATATGATTGCATCTCATGACGTGATCATATTAGTCTACAAATCTTTTCTTGAAAAATGAGTGAGAATTACAAAACAAATGGTTACTATGTAATCCATTTGAGCACGGCCATGCATTTTCTGAATTCTCCCTCTTCAAGGGGCCAAGACACATTCCTAATTAAATAGGTAGACTCTATCCAATCTTGTGGCAACCAAAGCTCCCACTCAACTTCTCAAATAACCGGGAAACACCCTTTATAATCTCTAGTTACGGGTAGACGTTTGAGTGTACCACAACAATAACATCCATTGAATGAAATCAATGTTCCACTCATGTCAAAGGAACCCACTAATATATCCGGAAGCTCTATACTTGAACTTCAAAGTAGGTCTATAGTTCGATCATGCATCATTCATGCATATCCATGTGATTGACCGAGCTTCACTACGCTCCTATAGCCCATGAAACTGCGCTATCCAATCAATCTTACATGCTAGTCCATGAATTGAAATCATTTATGTCCAGTTTAATGATTCCGAACTAGGAACTTAAATAATGTATGAATTTAGTTCACCTATGGGGTTTCATTCACCAGGTCATCAACCTGATAAGCCCATCAATTCATAATTATTTTGGGCATTTTATTTAATCTTGAAACCACGATTAAATAATATTGAAACTTTGTTTCAATTGATAAACATAATTCTGCAAATGAATGTATTACACATGTAACTTGTTTTTCCCCAAAAACAAATACAACTTCTAATTACATCATTTTCCTCAATCCAATTTCATTAGCATGTTTCTCATGCTTTGGAAATGGAAGGGGTTTAGTAAGTAGAGTTCATGAGACATTCTCATAAACATGAATTTTGCAATTTCTAAATTTTATAATCATTTTCATCTCCATACACTAAGAATTTTCCTTCGTCATTTCACAAGGAACTTAGAAATTTCTAATTTGTATTCCAACGTAACATTGGATTTCAATTGAAATCTATCATCACTTGTTCTTAAAACATGTGAATCAAATAGACGAGTATAGTCCATGACATGCATGATGCATCCTTTGCAAACTGCATAAGGATCATCACTCAAGACCTTAATTTCTTCAACCTTTCTCAAAGTATTGAATCATAAGCAATGTGTCATGTTACATGAGATTGAAACTCCTTTCAATATAACGTTGAACTTTATAAGAATCTTATCAATATAAGTTTCTTAACCAAGCTCAAACATCCATCAAAACCTATCTCTATAGATTTCGAATCTCAAATGTACTCATCATTCTTCTTCAAGATTTTCATACAAAATGCATTAGCCATCACTTGACCCTTCAAGAAATGAACAATTGCTCTCTATACTAGACCAAGAAGACTTCATAGCTTCCACTAAACATCTTGTACATACAAGACCTTTTCTTCATTTTACGAGAACATCAAACGATTTGATTTACTCACAAAATTAAGAACACTAACTCCATGATGCTATGCATCCCTAGGATTATTGGATCTTCAAACTTTTGATTGTATCATATACAAATCTTCTTTCATGAACAATTTCAATAATGTGTTCTGAATTCCATATACCAAATCTTATAAGGTAGTAATCACTAAAATATCTTTAATAGATCTTTGCAACATGACTAATATAAAGTTTTCATCGTAGTCTTAGTCATACTATGAATTAGTTGAATCCTTTAATAAGTCTTTGCTTTAGTTAGAAAAAAAATTTCTTTCTTGTCTGTTTTGCTTATAATGGGTCTCACCCAATTAGGAAAATTATTCAAGTGTCATACACTTGCTTACATATTTATAATCTATTTCAGATTTCCTGGTTTTTAAACCACTTGGAGTCATAACTTGTCAAATCATATTTATTACTTGCATAATCATCATGTTCCAAAATGAATATTTTAGAACTCTTAATCAATATGAAATCATATTTCTTTGACTAAGTTTTACATATGCTAGTCATCATTGTGGGTTTTGATGCAACAATTGAAACTTATACAACAACTTTGTTTAGTTTCAATGAGAAACGACAATTGAGGATGTGCACTTGAAATGTACTACCTTCGACACATGGTTATTATTCCCATTACACTTAATGAGACCATGCGTTGTCACTTGTAACATGAGGTGAATCATGCTCATATTGTTGCTTTGATTCGATTACTTCTCAAATTTCTTCAAGATTTTCGAATTCACTTTTCTTGAACTCTTTCAAGGCTCTCGAACTTTTCAAGATTCTTATACTCCCACTTGCCTTTTGAGGAGGAATATTTAGCATAGGGTTAACCAACCATGGTTTGAGCCATGTTTGTTTGTTGCTTTTTTCCAACTCTTTCGAGATTTATACTACTCCCACTTGACCTTTTAGAACAATTTCCATAAGGGCACCTACTTGAGCAACAAACATTTTGTGCTAAGTATGATTTGTGTAGTAGTACCCCGTGCTCTGTATAGGAATTGATCGTGCATTAAACGATTTAATACATCTCTTATTCCTTGCTTTGTAGAAAGACTTAATAATAACTTTTCTTATCCATATCACATATGAAGCCTTTGCTACAATTTGATTTGACCTATGTATTTTGTTTAGTTTAGTAGCTCTTCTTAAAAGTATATCCCTTGAACAATGGTTAGAAGATA